TCCGTGAATGTTGTGTAAATTTCAACTGCAAATGCTCAGGCATTTTAAAATGATACAGGTATTGGATATCAAGTCTGTTTTTACCAATTGTAGAAGCTTAGGGACTCAGCGGCGCTCGTAAAGCTCTCGAGGAGGAATAAAAGTACCACCGAAAGTTTTTTACTGGTAGTGCCTACCTCCAAAAAATCAAGAATACTTGGGCAATCTCATGCCGACGGAATTTTTCTAAAACTGCAATTGAAAGTGTTAAGAATGCTGCATTGCCTTCTGCTTTGACAGATAGGAGATAAAAAGTTTGATAAACGTTCCTCGCGCATTTAAACAAAACAGAATGCTTTATGTTTGCGAAAATTACCATTGGAAAATTCAAAAGGCAATATGGCGAGCATACGTCTGCTTTCAATAAATTCTCTTCAGCCCTGTACATTTATCTGGCTATTGAAGTAATGAATTAAAAGATACGGGAAAGTAGATAATTATGCTGCAGCTTGGGTTTGGGGAGGAGTGGGGAGGGGAGGGAGAGAGTAAAACACCACAATCCCAGTCAGCGCCAGGGAGAAGGTGGGTCCCAGCGAAGATAATCAATATGCGGGTAGCTGGTTTGGTGGCTTTGAGCCATGGCAACCGTGGGACCTGCGTAAAGTTCTTCTGTGCGCATAGGACAGGTACGCGTAGACTGATTGCCCGTATCTTTTAATTCATTATTTCAATAGCCATATAAATGTACAGGCCCGTGGAGAATTTATCAAAGCAGACGTATGCTCGCCAAATTGCCTTTAGAATGTTTTATATATGTAGAACGGGTAGTCTTCTGCCGGAAGGTTGACAGTTTTGCCTTCTAGGGCAAAAAACTCCAGAAACCAGTTGTGTTGAAAAAACTGGATAGAAAAAATTAAGATATGCAGATTTAACTAGTCATACCAGAGACACTTGAGTATATGATGAAAATTTCCTAAATAATAAAGGAAAGCCCACCACAAAGGATATTTCTTAACCAGTATTAAGAAAGGCGTCGTCTCAATCTCCGAACGGACAAGTGCAACGTAATGTTACGTGCTTATCACTGTAATTGTGAAATTTTGGTTTAAAAGGCAAACTATTTAAATGAACCCCAATCATGGGCAGATCGCTCAGACGTAGATTCGTATGCCTGGTTGAATTCATTGCAACCCTTTGTAGACCGAAAGGCTCTTACATACTTTTGCGGCCCAGCATCGAAGAAAAGAAATAGGCCTCTAAAAAACAGGAAAAAACCGATTCAAAAGAGCAAGCTTGACGGTTAGACATAAATTGGAAGTATAAGACGGTGTAAAAGACAGAAACCATAAAAAACAAAAGGCACCAAAGTGGTAAAAAACAGAAGATGAGAAAAGACCCTGTATGTATTATGTATGATTGAAGTTGAAGAAATCGAAAAAATTTAAAGTGCACATAATCTATAGGTGTTCTTACCTAAATGAGTTTTCAGAGTAAATTACACGCATGCTGTGTAGACCATTCATTAGGAATTATAGTACTTAAACTAAAAAAATCGATACGTAATTAAAAAGTCTCAGCAGATTTGAGAATTTATGGAAGATAAAATTGTGATTTAAAGACAGGTTACCATTTAAAAATCAAGCATTTTCATCGAACACCAACTATTCCAGTAGAATGGACTTCATAGGGCGCAGCGGAATAGGTGGAATTTTCGAGTTATGGCCTCAAAATCTCCGGCTATATGTCGAGCGCTGACATGTTGACACTCGGAGTTTTGAGCGTTACAGTTTTTATGCAGTAAAGATGGTAGGCCATGAGGACAGTTTAGTCTAAACTGACAGTTTACGCACCTGTTTTCGACCCATCAGGGCACATCACCTTTAACGAGGACAGTCCAACAATCGCTCAGTGACTGCTTTACTGTCAGTCCTCCTGCTTTCGTCAGGGGGAGCAAGCTGACTTGTCTAGTAAGTTGTCTGTTTACTTCAGTCAGTCACCAAATATACGGACCCTTTTCATGCATTGCTTTGGCCGCCCAATTCTTGACATTCAAAATAAGACAGTTTGCAAGGGATTAAATTGCGAAAGCTCTTCTGTGGAAGACAAAAGTGGCCATTTTGACAGTATGCAGTAAACACTGCGCCCACCAAATGGTTTTGGAACAAAGGCCAGTGCAGCTATCCAGCGTGACCGACAGGATTCACTAGTTGAATATGAAGTTCAGAATCAAGCCCATGACTGCTCTCTCCATAACCCCATACGCAGGCACTAAAAGCCTTCTTTTGAGAGAACCTAGAGAAAGAAAAATTGCAGAAGTGTATAGTTAATTTCTTTTGCTTTTTCACATTCAATATCATCCGAAGAAAAGCCTGTTCTAACAGAGCATTGTTTTGCACAAAGGTGCCTTCAGAGGCCACCCTGACTGTTGACTGACCCCACTCCGGTAGTCGAACCAATCGGATGGCCGGAAAGTCAAACGTTCAGGTTACCAATGGAATTACCGGTAGACGGCAGATACCGTGTCTGTCGACGCCCTCAGCCCTTCTTTGGTGGTCGGACAATCAATGTGCGCGTCTGGCTGACAGCAAGGGCCAAAGTGGTGCTAATAATGCGACTTACAGTACGGCTGACAGAACAGCGAAAAAGTGGAAGAACAGCAACCCTACAACCGCCTGGTGGGATGGGAAGTTCAGCCCTCCTTCCACTGTTGCTCTTTTTTTACCTCCTATCCGTGACTGGTGTTAATTGTCAGTACTCTGAACCGCAGAACGATGGAGCGGCCTCGGATAAGTTCAGCCTGCTGGAATCCGCACTGTCGGTTCCGCGCCTTCAAGTCGTCCGGGGGTTGCACGCACCCCTGCTGAAGAGCCACCTGCCTATTATGAACCGTGTTCTAAAGGGCCACGTCTGTCGAATTGAAGTGGAGGAGTATGCACCCCTCTTCTCTGTTGTCGGCCATCTGGAGCCAAAGGTAAGTCTAGAAAAAAACCTGTCAATCAGATTCCACTTGTTTTCGCTAACGGATACATCTTCGTAAATCTGGACTGATTTTATAAACCCGGTGCAGGTTCAACTCACATTTGATGCGCAAATGAGGCGGGATGCTGAAGACGGCATAGGAGGGCTGGAATCACAATACTAAACGACCCAGTTTACGACTTTGGGTCAGTGAATGCTTCAAAACGTTAGAACGCGTCTAAATTCATGACCTAGTATTTGCAAAAAATTATATTTCTGGCCCTTAATGCATCGAAAAAATATGGTTTTGGTAAGCCATCGGTTCGGTTTTGGCGACTCCGAACGTCCTTGATGGTTTCATTTGAAATTCCTCTGTTGATGGAGTCGAAGTCCCGCAATTTCTTTTAACTGCAGCACTGGAATCGCCCGAATTTTGCGACCCGGTTAGTGCGACAAATGCTGCCAGTACCATGGCTTCGGACTCTTTGCTGATTCACGGTTTTTCAGATCATTTTTTTGATTTCCATGATATGTAGCCCTCCAAAACTGCTCACCAAAATGATGTTTAAGTAGCTGATAGGTGTTTTTAAAAGATTTCAACATTTAATCTGACCCAGTTATGAAGAAGTCGACGTCTAGTCGGGATTCGAACTACTGACACCAGTAGCAAGACCTGAATGCAGCCAGCACCATCACCGCCTGAGTTACGAAGCTCTGAACAGCAGCAGTGCGATTAATTACATTTGGGTGAAGTTTCCCGGCGAAACTACTTCATTGTGAGGAATACGCCATCTGTAATAAAATAAACTGAAAGCATAACAGAGACTTTCTAAGCAGTCGGATTTGAAAAAGTCCTTTGACAGCAAACAGGCAGCCGTTTCGCCTGTTACCAGAAAAAAATATGGAAGCACGTACAGTAGGTGGGCTAACTCATAATATGTCAACCAAAATTCCTAAATGCGTCTTTATTTTGAAAAGATTAATTAAGTAGGATCGCAAAACAGATCATCATGCAGCATTATTCTATAATAATTTGGTTTCCTCAGGATGCCGGCTATCGAAATAACCTCTTTACGGCTGCATGCAAAAACCGCGCTCCGTAAAAAATGACCACTTAAGTAGCATGCATTTTTCTCGTTGATTTTCGATGCCTTAAAAATCCAATTATATTTCATAGAAAACCTGCATAAAAATATTAACTCCTCTGCTTATTCGGTATAAAATTACGTCTTCTTTCAACTTTATGCCACAACAAAGGTATAATTTGGTTTTTAAAAGTTTTTCCGAGTAATTTTGAACCCTATCTGCCGTTACACTTGCATTCAGGGTTTGCAATCTACAGGCCGCGTATTTTCTGCGTACGGAAAACCATACATTTCTTTGCGGTATTAAGAGGAGCCCGTATGGGGTTCATAAAATGTAGCATTAGATGTGAGCTATATTGCTAACTTTACAAGCCGCATTCGTAAATGCAGAGATATGGCGTTTCGTGAACGGCCATTTCACGGTATTAAAAAATCTCACAATCAGAAACTTTTTCAAAGCCAAATTATATTCTTCCTTCGAGTATAAAATTAGAAAACGTAATTTTCTACCGAATACGCAGAAGAATTAATATTTTTATGCATGCTTTCTATGGAATATAATTGAATTTTCAAGGGCATCGAAAATCAATGAGGAAGATGTACGCTACTTATGAAGTCTTTTTTACAGAGTGTGGTTCTTGCATGCAGCCGGAAGAAGTTATTTTGATAACCGCTATCGTGAGGTAACCAAATTATTATAGAATGACGCTGCATGATGATCTGTTTTACAGTCCT